TACTGGTGGCAAGTGCTCTGATTTTATCCAGGAAAACAATATGCAGAATTTTTGTTCTCATATCAGCCAAAAGTTCTGAAGGATTTGCATGCTTTTTTGTTGTTGTTGTTTTTTTTTTTTTTACAGTAATGTGGCGACACATGGTGTAATTATGCATCCTTTTCTTTTATGCTAGAGGCAAACCAAAAGTCTATTTTTAGGTTCCAGGTGACAAATGCAAGTAAAATATGTGGCTTTGGCAAGAAAATAAGGTTAGAATACGGTGAATAATCCTCAATTTTGCTGTGTTGCAAGACAGAAAACTACTTTTTCATTTAAAATCATTGGTAAATCTTTACAATTAGGTTCATCAGTTGACATTAGTTAACATGAACTAAGAATGAACAATACTTCTACAGCATTTATTAATCTTAGTTAATATTAATGTCAACATTTACTAATACGTTAGTAAAATCAAAGGTTGTATTTGTTAACATTAGCGTGAACTACACACAATGAACAGCTGTATTTTTATTAACAAAGATTACAGTAACAAATGTATTGCTCATTGTTAGTTCATGTTAGATTATACATGAATTGTAAAGTGTTTACCAATTATTTTATCAGTGCGAAACGTATATTTTTAAACATCATTCAAAATACAATTTCATGGCCCATAAAAACATTTATAAACTGTAACTTTTACCTGCTATCGACAAGCGTGGTAAACAGTTCATCTCGGACCCTGCATGCATGACTTCACAAGTTAGTCGATAAACCTCATCATCATCATCATCATCATCATCCTGTTACTGTTCTTCCACATAAGAGCCGGCAGCGCTCGCCTGACCTCAGATCTCATGGGTTATGTGATGTGTACATGTGAGCAAGCGTGCGTGCATTATGTAATAGAACAACATGGATGCGTTATGCTGTTTGTGCCGCTCGTCCTCCCTGGATCTGGGCATGAATGAGGTTAGTAGGGTGAGGACGGCCTGTCAAACACTCTTTTGTGAAGTCAATGGCATTGAATTGGAATTAACTATTTTAGATTGGTTTCCTTCCCTTAATAATAGACTTATAATTATTATTGCACATATACACTGATATAATGAACACAACTGGCCAAACAAACCAAATGTGGGACGATTACTAAGTTTGTGGTCATTTTGACTGGGATTTAAAAATACGAAGCCACATATTCATCATTAAATATACTATTGACAGTGTGTCATCTATGAGTATTTTCACAAATACAACTGCACAGATTTATTGGAGCGTGAGACTTAAAGTCCGCCTGTAGTCAATAATTGTATCCCTTAAAACACATCTTTGATCACTAAGATTACATCATTTTACAAAATAGCTACACAAAAATGTTTCCTTGAAAAATGTCTTGAAATATCTTGAATGTAACTCGACACCCTTGCCTCATTTAGTATGCGTGGTTCTATAAATATGCAAATGAGCCCGTTGATCGGTTGACGATCACACGTTGATCTGATTGGTTACAAGGTGGTTTGTGACGTCAGAAACACCAGCGATTTCACACCGTGTTTTTGAGACTGTCTTTGGTTCACTGCAGTTTTAAGGAGGAAATACTCAGCAATGCTGTCCACTTATCAACTTACACATTAAACACACCACATACACACATAAACAACATTAAACGCTGGATTTACACCACAGGGGGACTTTAAAGATTGATAAATGAGGCTCACATTATTGGTGTATGTTTTTCAAGAGAATACTTTTTCTACTTCAAAATCTCATGTGTTGCTTGCTGTTCCTGTATATTAATTGTGAAATGTACTACTTTCTGAGCGAAAATTGTTCCTGCACAAATATCCATCATTGCAAGTTTACGTCGATGGGTTTTGTGAAGCATGTATCCAGAGCACACACACATCCATTCAATAGAAACTCCCAGTCAATCTCAATGAGCACACACATTCGGTCTTAATAATTCCAATTTAAACCTGATTTTGCGAGTGCACGGGCCTCCACTGGTGAACCAGTCCGCTATAGAGTTGCATCTGAAACTCCATCCCATCAGAAGAGCCTCGATCGTTTTGGCACGGGTCAGAAGAGCAGCGACCTCTCGTCGGCGAAAGCACAACGGTTCAGGCGCCGAGAACACGGCCATCATTCACCTAATAGATACTGACACACCCAAACAAACCAACATTACTCAGACTCCTCCAACATTTCTCACATTAGGTTATTCACTAATGGTGATAAATATGAGCAGAACTCAAAGTTCTCAGTTTGGTCCAAACCTCCATGGGAAAATTTCAGTTTTCACTTTGCTCATTGGGATGTTGTAACACACACTTTGAGCTGGATTGGGACATATCTGGCATCTCTACAACTTGTTTACCACTAGTCAAGTCTCCATCTATCCAGCGCTTTAACACTGTAGTTTCACAGCGGCTTTACAGCGATAACAGGATCCAAGGTGCAAGTTTTGAAAAACATGAATCTGTGATAATGGTGACGGCGCACATGCGTATTACGTGTTCAGTCTATACAGTAGGTGTGCGCTTTTGAATAAATGTGCACATGCGGATAGTCTTTCTTTATACATTACAGGCTCACCCAGTGCATGAGTAACGGATACATTCGTGTCCTGTAAATAGGGAGATGTAACAGCAAGAGGAAGAAAATGGTCCACACATGATGCCCAAAGGACAATTCCGTCTCCATGGAGATGCCCATTAATTACCTGTGAATAAATGCATCAGCATAAGGCAAGTTATGCAATCCAGAAAAAGACTGGTCTAGACTAGCCTGATGATCTCATTCTCTCTCCCTCCCCATCCTGCATCCTTCATCCTTTCTTCTTCTGTCATGTGTGCTCAATCCTTACCTCTTTCTATTATCAGAGGCAACCGCAGGACTGCTGGCTGTGGCTAAATGGGATGCGAATAGCGGAAAATTTTCTTTCAGCCGAGTTCCTGTGGACAATCAGCAGTGAGCGAGAGCGAGGGCCTGTCGGAGCGCAGCCGGGTGAGGCGGGGACACGGCGAGAGACGGACAGAAGCAGGAGGTAAAGTGGAGATCAGATGTGTGACTGACTGCTCGTGGGCCATTTTTAACCTTGGGCTGACAATACCAGCTTATCTTGCTCATGCTTAGTCGTGAAAGAACATTTTTACCCCCAAAAATATTGAAAGTAAATTTTTACCCAATCAGGGTAACATAAAAACTACCCAAACATTGGGTAGTTATGTTCGACCCAAGAGCTGAGTAACATAAAAACTACCCAAACACTGGGTTGGTATGTGTGACCTATATTCTGGGGAACACAAAAACTACCCAAACACTGGGTTGTTACGTCTGACCCAGGATCTGGGTAACACAAAAACTACCCAAACACTGGGTTGTTACGTCTGACCCAGGATCTGGGTAACACAAAAACTACCCAAACACTGGGTTGTTACGTCTGACCCAGGATCTGGGTAACACAAAAACTACCCAAACACTGGTTGGTACATCTGACCCAGGATCTGGGTAACACAAAAACTACCCAAACACTGGGTTGTTAAGTCTGACCCAGGATCTGGGTAACACAAAAACTACCCAAACACTGGGTTGGTACGTCTGACCCAGGATCTGGCTAACACAAAAACTACTCAAACACTGGGTTGTTACGTCTGACTCAGGAGCTGAGTAACACAAAAACTACCCAAACACTGGGTTGATACGTCTGACCCAGGATCTGGGTAACACAAAAACTACCCAAACACTGGGTTGATACGTCTGACCCAGGATCTGGGTAACACAAAAACTACCCAAACACTGGGTTGGTACGTCTGACCCAGGAGCTGGGTAACACAAAAACTACCCAAACACTGGGTTGATACGTCTGACCCAGGATCTGGGTAACACAAAAACTACCCAAACACTGGGTTGGTACGTCTGACCCAGGATCTGGCTAACACAAAAACTACTCAAACACTGGGTTGGTACGTCTGACCTATATGCTGGTTAACACAAAAACTACCAAAACACTGGGTTGTTACGTCTGACCCAGGATCTGGGTAACACAAAAACTACACAAACACTGGGTTGGTACATCTGACTCAGGAGCGGGGTAACAAAAACTACCTAAACACTGGGTTGTTACGTCTAAATCAAAGCCTGGGTAACCCAAAAACTACTCAAACACTGGGTTGTTACATCTGACCCCGGAGCTGAGTAAAACAAAAACTACCCAAACACTGGGTTGTTACGTCTAACTCAATAGCTGGGTAAAAACAAAAACTACCCAAACACTGGGTTCTTACGTCTAACTACTTTTTTTTTTTTAATTACCCCAATGGATCAACCCAGTATTTAGGTATAAAAATAACGCAATATTTCTGTAGAGTGTGCAGTGCGGGGTTATTATAGTTAAATAAATGATTCCCATTACTTCGAATAAAATCACATGATAACACTAGATTTCCTCTGAACTAGAATCACGGTTGATTCCCCCACATCCACACAACTCGTTTCCTCCGAGAGAGCCAGACCTGTCCGTAGCAAAGCCCATCTATCTGACAGAATGCCTAAAGGTGTTAGTGTTGTGTAGGAAGAAAGTCACATCAAAGTGCCTCTCTCACACTGTAGATTTAAAATCTTCGTTTCCCCTTGTTATTTAATTTAATGAAAAGACACCAGTCATTCTGCCAATATATGTTATTTATTTTACCAATTTATATAAGACATAAGGGAGAGAGAGTGGACCAGCAAAGATCGTACTTGTTGCCTCTCTGTATTTTTCCTCTCTCTGTCTCAAACAAAGAACTTACACAGTATAGGCTGTTCCAGAAACATCTGCTCTTAATCAATCACTGAAATGTATATTCTGCTCCACGGAAAGAAACATAATACACTCAACTTCCCCCCAAGTCCCCCAAACTCTAAAAGTCTTCCACATACAGAATTCAGAAAAGTTTGATTCATAAAAATGTAGATTATAAATGATTATGAATGATATATAAAAAGTATAAAAAATGTATATAAAAAGTATAAATCACATGCATAATACTAATGATTATAATTATTAATAAAAACAATAAAAAACTAAAAACAACATTAAATGATGAGATTGTGAATCTTCAGTCCCTCCTCTGGAACTACGGCCGTCAGTTCCACACCATCATCTCCAGGTGGCCAACCTATTGAAGTGATAGTGTTGAGGAGAAATAGTAGACCAAGACATAGACATAGAAGACAAAAGAATTGAAACAGAAAAGAAAAGAAATAACAAACAAAAACCCAACCCATGTTATGTCCCCGCATGCTATGTGTCATTTAACATCTATGTGTATGCATTTAAAATGAACCCCAATCATCTAAGAAAAGAAAAACTAAAAAAGTCTTCTGCCCGTGCCTGGACTCATTAATTAATTAACTCGTTAACTAATTAAATCCCCCAGTTCCGAGCCAAAATAAGAAATTAAAATAAACGTTGATGTTAAAGGGTCCTATCCCTTGGGGTTGTAAATCAGTAAGCGGGTGTTCATTGTTTGTGAGGTTGTGTTTTGTAAGTAGTGTAGTGTATAAAATCTCCTATCTCACTCCGAATTTTCCATTCTCGGCTCTATCCATTTTGTCAGTAATAACCAATCTAAAAGGTTTGGTACTTCTCTTTCTTATCACATATATGATAAGTTTTATTACTAACAGTAACACAAAAACTCCTACCATAGTCAAAACTATCCATTCCAACCATGTTAAATTCCCTGGAATTCGAGCTAATTTCCTCTCAGACATCAATTTAGCTACTCCATTCGCTACGATAACATGACCCATTGCTTGAATTCCCTCCTCTTGAGCTGCCTTAACGCTTGCTTTAACTCTCTTGACCATTTCAAAGAGTTCATAATTCCTCTCTTCCACCAAATCATTATTCCACCACTGTGGATCTAACTGCAACAATTGTACATGTGGAACATGAATTCCACCCAATTGAAGAGGATAGAGAATCTCAACGCAAAATGGATCAGAAGGAATTGGACATAGCTTTCCTCCATATATCATATTTTCATTTATTCCGTCATGTAATATACACCACTGTGCTTCTGACACCTGCCATGCACCTGTGGCTTGATCTAAAGGAACTACTTCCCAAACTGCAGATCCATTAAGAGACAGACTAAACATTGTAGAACATGAGCAAATTACCCACTCATGTTCCTCAATACAACAGTCTGTAGTAGAAATCATTGGTGTTTCACCTTCAGCCCAATATCCATTCCTTCCCAATCTAATTACTGAATTTCCTTGTCTAACCCCCATTGATTGGAATCGTCTAACTGTCATAATATTGCGTTTCCCATATTGAGGCCAGACCATAATCAAAGGTAATGTTCCAGAACCTGACAACGAATCTTCATTGATTGCAATTTTAACTAATGGAGCATGTTTAGCAGAAGTCAAATTAAGTTGTTTTCCAAAAACCCATAACAAAGATTCCGCTATTCGCTCAGGAACTTGACCCATTCGAATAACCTGAATATCCTCTACCATTTGATCCTTCAAATTCTGAGCCAAAAATAAACACGCTGCACGATGTGTCTCAAAATTAGACGATTTCACTAATGCATCTGCCAATTCCCTCGCTGCGTCATTTAGATGCTGACCCGCTGCTATAATATGTAGAGAACCTTGAAGAGTCTCAGTAAGTCCTTTGCCGGTCATTGTTCCCACCCACTGAGAGTACTCACTTAATTGGTTCAGCTGAGCAGTATTACTAATTGAATTGACAGAGCCAAATACCCCCGCTATGTCTCCCCATATACTTCGAGGTTTACGATTTCGACTTCCAAGAGGATCCTTAGAGGTATAATATTTAATTTCTTTTTCCAACCAGCTCCTAATTTTGTGAAATTTCCACAATAGGACTGATCATAAACAGTAAGAAGAGACATCAAGTTATAATTAATGCGTTGTCGCACCATATGAGCTTCGTTTATCAAGGTTTTGGTTTCCTTTGCTAACAATATACCATGAGCTGGTGCAATAGTTGTACTTGGGCATGTTTTAGCTTTGTTTGTCTTTCCCGCAGAAAGATAAAAACACCGTCCAATTTCCCCAGTTTCTAATTCAGTCTCACAATATTCATTCGCATCTTCCGAATGCCAAACTCGTATGTAATTTCCCTTGAATCTAGTTGTCCTGGAGGTAGCATCCCATAGAAACCCCTCGCATGGTAACACTATGGGATAGATACAGCCTAGGGCTAATGAATCCCATATTGTAAGCATGTGGGTACGATTCAAAATAAAATTAATTTCCACATCAGTAGATGTTATGAGGTTTAACCCCACAATTTCACATTGTTCTTTTGAACAAATTTCTCGTCTTTGAGCACTACCGGTATACCCCCCATCTTTCACCGGCCAAATTACTCTGCTTTTGTAACATTGGTGGTGAAAGTTACATCCACCGTAGATGCCCACTCGATATTTAGCAAGGTCTTTATCATTACGTGGCACCCAATCCCATAATCCCCATCTGGAAATAAAGGGTAGAGTAAAACGTTGGCCAGATTTCAGAGTTGCATTCCGAGTAATTTCTTGAACTCGAGGAGTCCATAAAGCTTGGCTTCCTTGGTAAATGCCAAGTAAAATTAAAAACAAGCATACCATTGTCGTTGTGTATCGAGAATAACTTGCGACCATCTCTAATCAATGTCAATGGAATTGATTCCTGAAATGGAAGCAGAAAAAGAATTAATCATGACACTCCTTTTCCCAAAGTTAATGAGTGAACAGTGCTCAATCTCAGGTCCTAAGCCTTCATCATTTTGTTCATTCACTAAGCAAGGTTTAACTTGTGACCAATGATACCATCTATCTGTTCCTACACCCTTCCCTTTTAGGCAGACACTTGTATCTGTTGTTAAGAGTACCTCATATGGCCCCTCCCACCTAGGTTCTAAACCTTTCCTGGGAATACGTTTGACCATAACAAAACTGCCTAACTCAGGAATGTGTGGAATGTCAGTAGTGGTATGTTTTTCATCCCATTGCTGTTGAGCTTCTCGCACTTTCTTATTATTGTCTTTGATTGCTTTGTCCAGCATTGTGAGATAGCGTCGTAGCTTCTCTTGGAACAAAGTAGAGTCTCCTCCTGTTCCCGCAGGCGGCGGAGCATCAGGAGGCAGAACCATTGCTCTTCCAGTCATCAGTTCAAAAGGAGTCAGTCCCGTTACTCTGTTCGGGGTTGCTCTCAGATTCCACAAAATTGCGGGTAACAACTTATGCCATCCTTGGCCAGTTTGCAGAATGGCCTTGGTAAGAGCGGTTTTCAACGATCTGTTCATGCGTTCCACTAGGCCTGAACTTTGAGGTCTGTACGGGACGTGAAACTTCTGTTTAATCCCCATCAATTTCATTGCTTCCTTCATCAGTTTTCCAGTGAAGTGAGTTCCATTGTCAGAATCAAGTTCATATGGAAGACCCCAGCGAGGAAAAACTTGTTCAACCATCACTCGTGCGGCTGCTTCAGCAGTGCAGGTTTTTGTTGGGAATGCTTCCACCCATCTAGTAAATCTGTCCATGATTACTAGAATGTATTGGTACCCTCCACTGGGTGACAAAGGTCCTGTGAAATCGATTTGGAGATGTGTCCATGGACCTGTTGGTCTGGGTGCATGTGACATCCGCACCTTTACAGATTTTCCAACATTTGCTTTCAGACAGATCAAGCATCTTCTACAGTAATCATCAATGTCTCTCATCATTCGTGGCCACCACCACGTCTCGCTGATTTGAGCTTTCATTGCTTTTGCTCCAGCATGTACTTTTCCATGATACAGCTGCATTAGCTCCCTTCTTGTTCCGATAGGCATCACCACTTGTCCTGTTGGAATTCTCCAGATACCTTGATCATCCTCTTTCGCTCCCGCTTTTATCCATTGTTCTTTCTCTTCATCTGTCTCAGTTTGATATGACAGAAGGCGGAGCTCAGGATTATCTTCGGTGTTTTCCTTTACCAAGGTAACAGGAGTAAGAGGAAGTAGTGCTGCTTCTCTGGCCGCTGCATCTGCTGCCGTGTTTCCTTGACTTTCTTTGGACTTGTCAGATTGATGTGATTTTACTTTGATCACGGCTGCTTCTCTGGGTAGGTGACATGCTGCAATCAAACGACGAATTATGGAAGCATGTTGTATTTCGCTCCCATTGCTGGTGATAAGTCCACGTTTTTTCCACAGGGCAAGGTAGTCATGGACCACTCCAAAAGCATAACGACTATCTGTGTAGATGTTGACTCGTTGTCCTTCCGATAATTCGAAAGCTTCTGCAAGTGCTATGAGCTCAGCTACTTGTGCTGAAAAATGCCCAGAAAGAGCTCCTTTCTTCACGACATTTCCATCAGCTTCCACTACAGCCCATCCAGTATGTCGTTTTCCATCAACATAGTAACTGGATCCATCGACCCATAACTCCTTGTCTGGATTTTCAAGAGGTGTTGGACTAACAGGACCAAGACTTTCTTCCTCTACTTGTTTTTCACACTCATGTGGTGTTCCCTCGGTCTCTTGGGATTTTAGCTTTCACAATGGTGTGAATGTCTCTTAGTGTCATTTGATGTGCTTCAACCAGGGAGTCTAATTCTCGCCAAAACTCTGTGTTTGGATCTTGTCTCTTCAGAGGAGGCAAGGCTGAGAGAATGGCTTGTCGTTCTCCCGGAGTAAATGGTCTTTCTTCGGTCATCATCTCAGGTTGCGACTCTTCCCTTTTAATCACAGGTGAAGAAAATTCAGGACCGATTTTGTCAATTGTAATCACGTCATCATCTCTTGTCTCATCACCCCAGTCAGATCCATAATTATGAGCTGGTGTACATCTCATCATGTCTCTGCTTGGCTGGGCTGATTTAGATCTTGTTATTATTGGAGCTGCTTGTGCAGATGCAATATACATTTTGTCAACTGGACCTCTGTTTGATCTTGAAGCTTGAGGCTGCGTCAGAGGTTTAGATGAACTTGTATATTGTTCAGGCAAAGGTGGATAAATTGGTTTGTAAGGTGGAGGCGTTACTGTTGTCGCGGATTTCACTGGTGCTTGTGAATGTTTCCTTTCAGCTTCAGTTATTATATTTGTCCAATCTGGATCAAATAAATCATCACTGGTTGTGTTTTCCTTCTCTGGACATGTGATGGACATGATTTTGTTTAATTTGTGGTATGCTTCAAGCTGAGGCCTCATAACTTCAACAAGCGGTACCGGACCACCATTTAAGTCGCAACAAATTCCACCTTGTTTCACAATCCAATTAGCTGCTAAAATTGGAAATGCTTTTGATTTTATCTTGTCTTTTTGGGACTCGAACCAGCTTAACTGCTCATTCATAGATGCATTAATGTCCAGTCCTTTTTTCAAAAGTTTAGTTAGTTTCTTGTTCTTCTTCTTTTCAAGATACCATTCAGCTATTGTGCTGCTGGTACATACACTTGCTGCCATTTTCAAAGTTAAAAGTCTCTGCTCAGAACAGTCTGTTAACTCAGAAGTCTGTTAACTCAGAACAGCAGGGATGTATGTGTGCCTATGTGTGTGTGAATTAAACGGTATGTGCGTCTATGTTCAGAAACTGCAGCCTATGTGATGCGTCTGTGTGTGTGCTCAGAGCTGCAGGCTGTGTGTGTGTATAGGTATGTGTGTGTGGGGCTCCCTGCCTCTCCCCCTCACCAACTGGATGTGTGTGTGTGAAGGTACAGGGCAATTCTGAAGGGAGGGGCTGCTTCGCTCTCTTTCTCCCTCACTCACAGAACAAAAGAAAAATTTAAAGAAAAGTTAACTCTAATGCTTTTCAGTATTTTAGTTTTCTTTTTAAAACTCAAAACAGTTCCTTTTTTTTTTTTTCCTCTTTCCAAATATTTTGGATTTTATCTCAGATTAATTTCTTTGGTATTTTTTTTTTCCCCTTAAAGTTAACTCGGATCAGTCTCCTCAAATATTTGAACAGCTTTACGGTCAGGTTCAGAATGCCCACGATCCTAGCTAGTTACAAGGACGCCTTTTATACTTGTATAACTCTAGCGTGTTACAATGTTTTAGGGATTACTCTGCCATCATTTTTAAAACAGTCCCGCCACATTTAACCGCTTTGGTCAATCAAGTATCGCTTGTGTTAACTTCCCTCGTCTCCTACTGAGAACGAATCTTCGGTGTGCTGGATGTTTTAGGGATTACTCTGCCTTCTTTAAACAGTCCCGCCACTATCCAACCACGTCGCAGTTATAACCAAGCAAATTTTACCAGCTTAACCGTTTTACAGCTAATTCCAAATTTCTGACTAGATGGTCTTTTTTCTAAAAAAGATCCATCTCTATCCCAGCATTTCAAATATTGTTTGAGGTTTACTTTTCAGAGAACCTTAAATAAGCCTAATTCAATTTGATTATTTAATCTGATTAATTTTATATAATTTTTCCTTATGTCCCATATTCATTGGCAAAACAACTGGTACTTAAAATAACACAGTTCTTTTCAGCATTTCAGTCACTGTCTCTAATCATCAGGCAGACTTAAAACTTTTTAGAAAGGAAAAAAAGTCTTACCTGAAATGATTGAGACGAATGCCTGGGTATGCGATCCTTTTCGTGTGACGCCAAAAATGTAGATTTAAAATCTTCGTTTCCCCTTGTTATTTAATTTAATGAAAAGACACCAGTCATTCTGCCAATATATGTTATTTATTTTACCAATTTATATAAGACATAAGGGAGAGAGAGTGTAATGGACCAGCAAAGATCGTCCTTGTTGCCTCTCTGTATTTTTCCTCTCTCTGTCTCAAACAAAGAACTTACACAGTATAGGCTGTTCCAGAAACATCTGCTCTTAATCAATCACTGAAATGTATATTCTGCTCCACGGAAAGAAACATAATACACTCAACTTCCCCCCAAGTCCCCCAAACTCTAAAAGTCTTCCACATACAGAATTCAGAAAAGTTTGATTCATAAAAATGTAGATTATAAATGATTATGAATGATATATAAAAAGTATAAAAAATGTATATAAAAAGTATAAATCACATGCATAATACTAATGATTATAATTATTAATAAAAACAATAAAAAACTAAAAACAACATTAAATGATGAGATTGTGAATCTTCAACACGTGACCACAATCTCACGTCTGGGTCATTCATGACTTCGCAGATTACAGGAGCTGCCATCCAACATGCATCAGTTCAAGAGACTGGTTATGTAAACACAGACAGTTTGGCTCTAACTCAACGGCCTGCAATACCGAGACGAGCGTTCCCTAAAGCCGAGCTTGAGTTTTAAGGGAAATTCCTTTTCATTCTTCGCTTAGAGGCAGAAATATGTTTGGCAAACCTTTGCAGTGATATACTGCTGGCGACGCCCACATTCAGATGAATATGCAAATATCTACTGTGCTATTTCCTCTCAATAACAAAACAAACAACTAAAACGCCAGCGGTGAGGAAAGCATCGGATCACCGTGATGTTGATGTTTACACTAGATCTGCAGTTCAGCACTCCAGTCACATCACGTTTATTTCTACAGTAGATCGCTTTAAAGCAGCAGATTTACAGGATTAAACAGAGAAACAGTGTCAGCTTACGTTTCTACTGTAAAGCGACTCTCAGTGTGTTCATGTGTCTGACCTCGACCGACTGAACTGAAGAAATGAACCAGTCAAGAGTTACACCTCAAAGAAGGCGGAGCCTCTGAGCCACGCCCACTTGTTACATCATCATCACTTGGACCAATGGTAGTTCAAAGGTGTTTACCAGCCGAAGCAAACTTTTCCAGAAAAGCTTGCTTTGGCAAACTACAAAGATCTTTGTTTTGGCCAGGTTTTGTTTGAAAGGATGCCTCGCCAGTCTGTTCCTCGATTGCGTTTGAAGTAAATCCAAGCCTTTAGGAATACATCGTAAAAGGGCCAGTTGCACAAGATTTTATTCACGCAATCATTATTTTAGACCCCCTATTTTAGACGGCACACTAGGAAGCTTACAAAAATAAACATAGCACTATTTCTAGTTTCACACTACACTACAAACCATGCAACTCTATATATTCAGCCCAGTCACGTTACTGTTGGTTGCTATAGCAATCTATAAGATCTGCTGTTTGCTCTCCCATTGGCTGCTGCCACATTACTCAACACTTAGAACGGTTTCGAGGCGCTTTGATGAGTTGATTTCAGTCTAAACGTCCCTTTTGGACTTAATGAGGAAATGTGTAATTTAACACACTGAGTGCTTTGACTAGTAAAGCTGTTCTGCAGTTCGCCTGAAACACTGCCTCCTTTTGAAATGTTATCTTCATTTAATTTCATTTGAGAGCTGCCCGAATAATCGTTAAAATAATTTTACATCGTTACACCAGTTGGTCATTCAAGAGATTCGCTTCAAAAAGACTGATTCATCCAGTAATGAAACAAGTCAAGTCTTTATGAGTGAGTCATTGAATCGTTCACTTAACCTGATTTTAAAAAAAAATTAATTAAATATATTTTTAAACAGACTGCAGCATTAAACATTTTGTCAGAGCCTCTAATAAGTTACATTATTCTTTTTTTGTCTATTCAGAATTGCGATCTGTATTTTAAACAGTAAACGTGTGCAGCTGTAGGAGTGTGTGTGTGTGTGTGTGTGTGTGTGTGTGCTGGAGGGGTTCTGGTTCTGCTGTCACCCAAAGCCTCCGACAGGAGCGAAGATAACTGACAGCTTTCAGAACCAATCCTGTCACATCTTACTCGAATTCACACCCGCCCACTCACACACTCTCAAGCGACACAGCATCATGTGCTCACAGCGACACACACACACTACAGTATCTGCTTACACACAACACTTATACACAACCTACACCTAATTATGTTAGGAGTACAGAAGAAAGAAAGAAAACAGCATTATATATTGTATTTATTATATATTATATTTTTGCATTACTAATTTGAGTAACACTTTACAGTGAACATGATTAGTTAATGCAGTAACTTACTAAAACTAACAATACATCAATACATTTTTATTTATTTAGTAATAATGTTAGTTAAAGAATCCAGCGTTTATGTGTGTATTTCTGTGGTGTTTTTAATACGCTTTAACACACACCATGTGTAAATTCATAAGTCGACAGCATTATGTTTAAATTGACATTAACTAAGATTAATAAATGATTTAGAAGTGTTTTTCACTGTTAATAAACTAGTGTTGCCTACATTGCATAACGATTTTCTTCCTCGATAATTTGGTCTTGTTTTCCAGTACAATTATCTATAATCAGGACACATGTTACTGGAGAAGCAAAATGAGTTTAAAACAAGAACAAATATCACATAAATCTACTTCATTTGAAAACAAGGATCATTTTTCAGCCCCTATTGGCAGATTTTTGTTCTTGTTTTAAGCACAAACACTTCATTTTGATATTTAAACGAGACCTAATATCTTCAGTCATTCTGCTTCTCCAGTAAAAGTCTCATGACTTAAGAATGATTAGATATTTCTATTGTAAAAGCTGTGTGTAAATTTGAGACACGTATTTTTCTAGATAATCCAAAGACACGTGATTATGCAAATTGAACTTGATTCTGTAGAAATATTGTGAAATACATGTCATGTACTCTTCGTTTGCTCTAGAATGAACCCTAATGTAAACGAAGGTGATCATTAGGAGCATTGCATACACCAAACAAGGATGTGTGTGAGAGGAGTAAGAGTTGTGTGTGTCAGAGGAGAGTAAGAGTTGTGTGTGTGATTGAGAGACAGTAAGGCCGTCATCTGCGGAAGAACATCAGAAAGACAGAGCAACGCATGTCAAGTCCACGGAGAAGAGGTCATGCAGCGTGCGTGTGTGTGTGTGTGACGCTAGGAGAACGCTGTTTCCACATCAGCAGAACGAGGCGTGCTCAGGCTTTAGCGCCGAGAATCATCGACTTATTAAATGCGTTCTGTGAAAGCTCCGTCCTCACACACACACACACACACACAGTGAAACGTTTCCACAGCAGTCCACCAAACGCCTCACACACCATACCCAGATAGCAAACTGACATTGAATCAACGTAGAAACATGACATCGAAACAACGTTGATCTGACATTGTTTTGCTCATCGAATTAACGTTGAACCAACGTCAGACGCGTCATTCTTTCAAAACTAACGGAAAATCAACTTGAAATCAACGCGTTGTTTCAACGTTATGAAAGCAAACCAATTTTCGATTTTCATTTAGCTTTGAAGAATGCCGCGTCTGACGTTGGTTCACCGTTAATTCGATGAGCAAAATCAACGTTGTTTCAATGTCATGAGAGACGTCGTTTCCACGTTGATTCAATATCAGTTTGCTATCTGGGTAATCTGCACAAGCAGAACGGTCAACATGCAACACTGCCGACATCAGTTCTGTTCACGCTTCTTCTCACTGCAGAATAAATATAATGTCAAGTGTGTGTGTGTGTGTGTGTGTGTGTTACCATGTAGTGAATTAAAGCGTCTCATCCTAGAGCTGATCTTTACCGAAGCGAGCCCGCGGCGGAGGACTTGAGTCGGGAACATGTGTGTGTCAGAGGAATAATCCCCGAGCGGAGGAATCATGCAGTGATGAGTCACGACGCGGATGCATATGAATTTAGGTTTGGTTGGATCAGAAGCTCTTTTTCGAGCGGTGCTGGGATCAGCGACTGATTCAGGATCAGTTTTAAAGGAATAGTCACACAAACTGTAAATTCTGTCATCATTTCCTTCAAACTTGATGTTTTAGAAGATATTTTAAGTGATAATTTACATTCAAACTCGAGTTGTGTGAAAACTATCAAAGCAGCACAGTGGTGGAAAACCTTTTAAAACTTTGGGCTAAATACGAGCTATTTAGTATTATTACTTCTTGACTGTTTTGGATCTTCAGTTTCAGCAATCATTATTCCGCTCAACATGTCACACAGGTTTCAGAAGCACAACGACGAATCTCTAATTACCTTAATAGTAGGCTACGCTGGGTGTTTTATTTAAAAATATGTTTTAGACAATCAACCGATCCTCATCGCTACGTTTCCATCTGAACCTGCGATTGAGTTATGGGCATCGAGTTTATCTCAATGGTCTGTTCGAAAAACTCTCATGGTTATTTCATAAAGTAGTTTCTGAGCGCCTGCGCACAAATGCTGTTTTCATGCAGTTATGAGATGCGACGCCTGGATTCTCTTCACTGTGTCAACATGTTTAAAGCCAAACAAAATGTATTTCTCATCATATTCACCCTCTTTTCCTGAGAGTTGCTGATGGTGAGATGGTTTCAGCTTCCGGTGCGGACGACTGCTATCCAGCCGTTTCATCTTACCTCAGCTTGCTTCTTTTCACAAACGCTTTTCTTACACTTTTCCCACGTCGTTACGCTATTTCTTGCCTTGGCTTGCCCATTTCCACGTCATTACGCTATTTCTACGTCATTACGCTATTCTACCTCATCATGCCTTTTCCACGTTATTATGCTATTTCTACGTCGTTAGTTTTTTTTTCCATGTTGTTACGTTATTTCTACATCATTACGCTATTTCTACGTCATTACGCCATTTCTACAACATTACGCTATTTTTTTATACATCATTACGCTATTTTCCACGTCACTACGCTAAACTATGTCATCACGCTATTTCTACTAGAGGTTTAACAATATATCGTGCCACAATATATCGCAACACAAAAATGCAACAGTACATATCATGGATAGTGACAATGTGTATCGT